AAAAAGTACGTTTGATTCACGTGTATAAAAGGACAATGTGATGTTTGGTTAATATTCATTTTTTCATTTGAAAGCCAATAAAATGTTCTATTTATCGATCATTCTACTTCTCACATTGATTAGTCTTGCAGTTTATTATGTTTTTCTTCTACAGCAACGTTACCAATACTTTCGTCGACGTGGTATTCCAACACCACCTTTCCGCTTTTTCTTTGGACATATGAAAACGTTATGGAATGTTCCATCTTTTCATCGTCAGCTTGAAAATTGGACAAAACAATATGGTAAAATTTATGGGATTTATCAAGGAACTACGCCTACTTTTGTCGTTAGTGATCCTGATTTTCTTCAAGAAGTTTTTGTCAAACAATTTCTCAATTTTCCTTCACGAAGACAAGTTTTAGGAGGTAGTAGACTTAGAAATGTTTTTAATGCATCAGGTGCAACATGGCGTCGACATCGTCACGTTATCAATCCAACATTTTCAGCAGCAAAATTAAAAATGATGAGTCCACTTATCAATGGATGTATAACAAATGTTATGAATAAATTAAAAGATCATGCTGAAAATGGTAATGATTTCAATATTTATACATATTATAAAAGAATGACAATGGATGTTATATGTAAGTGTACATATTTTTTACAAATTGATCTGTTTGTAATTGTTATTATATAGGTCGATGTGCATTTGGTATTGATACTGATTTACAAAATAACCCAGATAATATCTATTTTAAGAAAGTGGAAGAGATCTTTGTTCGAAGTATAAGATCAAATAGCTTTTTTAGACTTTCTCAATTGTTACCTGAACTGGCGTATGTTATTGGAAAAGTCTTTTTTGGTATTAATATGGTACGAGCATTTATTAATATTCATATTTTATCTTTAATATCAAAAAAAGAATTACCTGAACTTCCGAGTATATGGCTTTTCAATCGATTACATCCAATTATTGAACAAAGACAGAAAACACCAACTTCACGAGTCGATGTTTTACAACTGATGATGCAAGTAATGACTGATGAAAAAGCTCATGTAAGTTTAATTGACGAGCAATTTTAATGATTAGATAAATGTAAATCTTTTAGGATGATGTACAAGATACTAGTAAAGCTAATTATCGATTAGTAAAAGGAGAAATTATTAGTAATATTATTGTTTTTATGGCAGCTGGATATGAAACAACATCAACAGCATTAGCCTATGCAACATATGAACTTGCTAGACATCCAGAAGTTCTTGAAAAAATTCAGGCAGAAATTGATCAACTTCCATTAAGCAATGATGATGATGATGATTCGAATGATGAAATGAAAAAATATCCTGATTATGATATAGTTGCACAGATGCCTTATATGGATATGTTTGTTTCGGAAGTTTTAAGAATGTATCCTATTGCTAATACTGCAGTTCAAAGACGTACTGCCGAAAATACAATCGTACAAGGAATTCCAATTGAAAAAGGTAATTAGAGATCTTCGTGGTATTAGAAAATACTTTGATTTGTTTTTTTCTAGGCACTTTAATACATACAGATATCTTCTCAGTTCATTATGATCCTGAACTTTGGGGACCGGAAGATCCTTATATTTTTTATCCTGAACGTCATCAAACAAAACGTCATCCAATGGCTTATTTACCATTCGGAGCAGGACCAAGACAATGTATTGGTATGCGTTTTGCATTAATCGAAATGAAAATTCTATTAGTACGATTACTTCGTGAATATTGTATTCTTCCCGGTGAAGAGCTTCAAAGTAAATTCAATATTCGTGAACGAACTGTCATCGCGCCAGAAGAAGTTTGGATCAAATTAGTACCAAGAAATGTTTAAGATAGAATATGTATATATGTCATCTTTGAAAAGAAATAGAAACTGTATAGAAATCATTTTTTCATAAATAATCTTGTTTTGTAACGATAGTATTAAGCCATTTATTATTAAATAACTTTTTTTTTCTTCGCAATAACATTTTTAATTTCTCCATGATAATAGAGTGTGGGTGTGAATGTAATATAAATA